AAACATATCACGATGATGTATATATATATATGTATACATATATATATATGCATACATATATATATATATATATATATACATATATACATGTACACACACACATGTATATATATATATATATATACGTATATGCATACATATTTATTGTATTTGTTTTCTGTTTGTGTATTTGTTTGTGTATTTGTTGTTTCTATTTAAACAAACGACAGAAAGTGCTGTGGAGGAGTAACGACGCTTCGTCAGCTTCGCATTTTCTTAGCACGAGTAAATTTATATTTGGAGGCCTCAAATATTTTCGTCTTAAGTTTGCTCCTTGCGGCACTCGGTCTTCAAAAAAAGGGTATTAAACTCTTACTGCTGCTGCTGCTGCTGCTGCTGCTGCTGCTGCTGAGGGTGCTGCTGAGGGTGCTGCTGAGGGTGCTGCTGAGGGTGCTGCTGAGGGTGCTGCTGCTGCTGCTGCTGCTGAGGGTGCTGCTGATGCTGCTGCTGCTGAGGGTGCTTCTGCTGCTGCTGCTGCTGAGGGTGCTGCTGCTGCTGAGGGTGCTGAGGCTTTTGCTGTATTATTACTATTTATTTATATATTTATATATAAATGGATATTACATATATTTATATATTCATATATTTATTGATATATTACTTTTTAGATTTATTTATCTCTTTATTTGTTTAATAAACAAATACATCTGATTTTTGTATTCATGTATTTATATATTTCTATATTTATTCCTATGCTTATTTATTTGTTTACTTATTAATAAATAGATATGTCTTATCTATCTATATATATATATATATATATATTTAATTGTTTGTTTATCAACAAACAGATATGTCTTATATATATATATATATACATATGTATTTGTTTGTTTGTTTATTAATTAACAGATATGTCTTATCTATATTCTATATATAATATAAACATATTATTTATATATTTATATTTATTTGTTTGTTTGTTTATTAATAAACAGATATGTCTTATCTATATTCTATATATAATATAAACATATTATTTATATATTTATGTTAATTTATTTGTTTGTTTGTTTATTAATAAACAGATATGTCTTATCTATATTCTATCTAATATATATATATATATATTTATATATTTATATTAATTTATTTGTTTGTTTGTTTATTAATAAACAGATATGTCTTATCTATATTCTATCTAATATATATATATATATTTATATATTTATATTTATTTATTTGTTTGTTTGTTTATTAATAATCAGATATGTCTCTCTTATGTTAGAACAGACGGAGAATTGGGGGTCGCTGAATTCTCCGATTATTCTCTCAGCTGGTGGGATGAAGAGGGGTCCGTTTATGTATAGAAGCCCTGAGTATTTTGAGGTAAATATTAATTAATTAATCAATTAATTAATTAAATTAATTATATTTAATTAATTATATTTATTTAATTTAATTAAATTAAATTAATTATGTAAATGTAGAGAATATCGCTTGAAGAGACGAGAAGATTTGTGGATGCGACAGCATTCACCATATGCATGCATACATATTGCTGCTGTTGATGCTGCTTTTGCTGCTGTTACTGCTGCTGCTCTTACTGCTCTTGCTGCAGCAGCAGCTGCTGCTGTTCTCTGCTGCTGTTTTCTGCTGCTGGTTCCTGCTGCTGCGGCTTTCTGCTGCTGCATTTGGTGTTGCTGCTGTTATTAATTACGTCATTGTATTTTATCTTTATTTATTGATTTAATTTAATTAATTTAATTAAATCTAATTTATTTGTTTTATTTTTAATCTCAGGCAGCAAATTCTCTTTGTCGTTTTGACGAATTGCAAGTCGAAGGCGACGCACTCAAAGTTGGCGTAGAAATCGCGCCAGGGTAAATTGAATAAAAAAATATATAAAAATAAATAAAATAAAATAAAATAAACGAAGAATAAAAGAAATAAAAAGGAAATAAAAAATATAAAATATATTAAAAGGAAATAAGTAATGAAACAAACAATAAAAATAAAAAGAAACATCGAACAAACAGCAGCAGCACTTAGATGAGAAACAAGCAGTGGCAGCAGCACAACACAAAACACCCAAACGGGAATGTATACTGCATGCAGCGTAAAGACTGCATGCAGCAGCAGCAGCAGCTGCAGCAGCAGCAGCAGCTAAAGCAGTAGCTGCAGCAGCTGAAGCAGCAGCAACAGCCGCTGCAGCTGCAGCAGCTGTTGGATTTTTTTGTTGAAGAACTGAAGGAAGAGGAGGCCGATGCCTCTCTTACTCTTTCTGTTATTATTACGGTGCATGCAAATAGAAGAGCAAAACAATAAATAAAACAAACCCTAAAAGCAAACGAAATAGCAAAATGGAAACAAAAATAAGCACAAACAAAGACATATAATATATATATATATATATGTATGTATATATACGCATGCATACATGTGAATGTATATACGTATATACATATATATATGTATATATATATATATATATATATCTATATAAAGCATGTATGTGTAGAGGGAGAAGAAATGCTTATAATGAATTAATATTATTAAGGCGAAGTTTTTTTATGAAGAAGAACTCGGTGCACTCTCTCTCGTTTGTTCTGTCTCCAGAATTATATTAATTTAAGTGAAGTTAAATTAATTTAATTAAATAGATTTAATTTAATTTAATTTAAATGAAGCAACTCCAAATATTTTTACTTCTTCTTCTTCGTCTTCCTCATTAGAAGAGACACTCCACGGTGGCCTTCCTAAACCCTAAACCCTAAACCCTCAGCGTCTGATTTCAATGCATTGCAGCGCATATATAATAACGATTTGGAGGCTGCAAAACCAAACAAATAATGATAAGCTGCCTAATAACAACAACTCCAGCACAAGAAACAGAGAAGGAGGAGGAGTGCAGCAGCTGAGTTTATTCCTTCGAGGCCCCTTTATGCAAACAACACAATGCTGCTGCAGCAGCTGCTGCAGCAGCTCAGCTGCTGCTGCTGCTGCAGCAGAAGCAGCAACAGCAGAAGGCCCGCAAGAGAAACGAGTTCAACAGAGTAAGCATAATATAACTCCTCGATTTCTCTGCGTCTTATCGGCGTATCTCGCTGCAGCTTCATCCTTTAAAGAGCGGTGGTCCACTGGTCACCCCACTGGACCATCAGTAGACCACTGGAGCGCTGCTGCTGTTATTTAGACTCAGTGCATGCAAAAGGAAAGCATGCACGGATGCAGCAGCAAGAGATATAGATATGCTGGAGTAGAAATTAATAATATTTGCATATGTATTGTCCTATATATATAAAGATGAATATATATATATATATATCTTATAGAATATATAATATATATAAATATATATATATATATAATGTAGCGGCAAACAAACTACACCAACAAGCAGCACCAGAAGGTGAATAGATGCAGCAAATATGATGAAGTTGAGTAAACGCAAACGTTTGCAAAAGTAAAAAACATTTTGTTGATTTTCCCTCTGTTGCTGCCGCATAAGTTATATATGCTTAGACAGCTGCTGCTGCTGCTGCTGCTGCCGCTGCTGCTACTGTTGCTGCGAGGCAATCTTAAGCAGCAGATCAAACAGCAACGAATTAAAAGAAAGAAATAAAGCAGAGATAAAAAACAAAGACTCATATGCATGCATTTACCCCTAAGTGGATTCAACTTCAACTCGCACATCTTCAGCATCACACTCAGTTTTTTTTTGTTTATTTGTTTCGTCTCTACCGCACAGATCTTTTGCTGTACGTACAGCTTCTACATTATTTTTATTAACATCTTCATTTGCATCTATCGAACTCTTATGTTTATTATTTATATTATCTCCCTTCGTTTGCTGCTCTTCTTCTCCTTTCTTCACTTGTGCATTATTTTTATTTGTCTCTGCAACAAAATCTTCTTTTGAATCTGTACAAGTCGAAGGCACCTCTTCATGAGGCTGGTCTTTCTCACCTTTCGCTTCGTCCTCTTCTCTTGCTGCTGCTGCAGATGCTGCTGCAGGTGCTGCTGCTGCAGGTGCTGCTGCTGCAGGTGCTGCTGCTGCTGCTGCTGCTGCTGCTGCTGTTGGTGGCGGTGCTGCTGCATCACGTTCTGCCGCTTTTTCCGGCTTCTCCTCAACAGACCTCCGCTGATGCGATCCCGATCCCGATCCCGATCCCTCTGGTTTGCCTTTGGTTTTGTCTGTGCCTCTGTTGAGGCGTCTCCTTTGCTGCTGCTGCTGCTGCCGCTGCAGCAGCAGCAGCTGCTCCTTCTCCCTTGTCCCTTCTTCAGGGATATCCATTACTAAAAACCCCTCAGAAGGAGGAGCAGCAGCAGCAAGGATTGCTGCAGCTGCTCTTGCTGCTGCATGCCGACGCGGCCTTCCGGACTCTGTAGGTGGAGGATCTCTAGCTGTCGTTTGCTGCTCGGCACCTTCATCTTTATTTGCTGCTGCAGCTGGTGTTGCTGCTGCTGTTTGTGCACTTGTGCGGTGGTGTGTTTTCTGTTGCTTGTTCGCCGCTGCTGATGTTTGCTGCTGCTCCTGCTGTTTTCCTGCTGCTCTATTAACGCTGGCCTTCCGACCCTCGAGGCGGGCGGGTGCAGCGCTAGCAGATGAAACCCGAGTTGCCTTCTGCTGCTGCTGCTGCTGCTTCTGCTGCTGTGGCTTCAATGAAGACGGTGAAGAGCGTTTCGGCGGCGATGCGCAGCGCCCCTTCCCAGCCTTGCTGGCAGCAGCAGCAGCAGCAGCAGCA